ACACATGAATTCATGTAATGTTAGGTACCTCTGCGTCGGTGAGGGCGTGAGGACAAGTCCTACAAGGTTTTCCGCCAACATTCAGCAGTGGAACCATGATTACTTCGACTGTCGATGGGGAGTCAGGGATTTCCGCCAGGGCGCGATTACCATTGGTCGTGAATTCATCGCTCCAGACGACTCTTATGATCAAGCCGACAACATCCTCGCTGAATCCGCAGATCACTCCACTGGTGTGGACCATACACACTACGGCATCGTCCAAGGAGTCGTCCCTAGATTGTCCAACAACAGCATGTGCAAGCACAGATGGCTTGGAGATCAGTGGCACAGTGTCCTTGGTCTTGGCCCCCTTGCGCCTCCAGAGGCAATAAGAATCAGGCACAAGAATATGTCTAACGGGACGACGCTCCAGGCCATCGCAGATGTGGTCAAGAAGACCACGCAAGAAACTATCAAAGAGTTTTTGGACGCACACCGCACTGACGTCTTGAAGGACACAATTTCTACAGCCATAATCAAACAGCTAAAAGACGCGACAGATGATGCACCGGAAATTTCATCGCCACTTCCAACAACATGGAACGGGGGATCGTTTCACTTGAGCAGTAATTTGGACGCCATGTTCTATGAAGAAAGCGAAGGTGAGCACCACTATGCGTTGTATCGACACCAACATCTCATTAGCTTTGCAGGTATCCGGCGAGACCCTGCTTCCTCATCAGGTCCCAGTGGGTACAATAACAACAGTGGTGAGTCCGAGCTCCAATGTTATGCAATTTAAAAAATGATTGAATGCGCCAGTTAACGCGTCCCCTGTTGTTGTGTCGCCCACTGCAAGTGGTTATATTCAATGCGGAGAAATGCTTTCGGACTCCCCACTCCCAGTATCGTCGATAACGAGCATCTCACAGACCGAATACATAGAAGGGTCCACGACATTCTCCGACGTGGTCCCAACAACGCATCAGTCCGAGTTTCCTCCATTCAAAGATCGCAAAGGGAAGGGCAGAGCTTATGAAACACCAGAACCTCCATTGGTTGATGGCGTCATGTCGTCGTCTATATCTCCTATCGCAGACATCAAAGGGAAACGGAAGCGTGGCGACTATGAGAACATCCATTCTCGAGCATTCGCCAATCCAGCTAGAGCGTCCAGAAGAAAACACGCGCCTCGCAGTGTCTCGCATCACAATTCCATCCCATCTACGTCCGGTTCATACCCAGTCACACCAACTGCACACCGCGCACGGAAGTACGCACCACGGGTCAAACTATCATTAGAACGCGTCGCGGAATCGACGAAACACGTTCGCAGGTTGTCTTCGGAGGTGATGGATATCTCCAGCGACGAGGAGTTGTCCAGTCTTGATACTATACAGCTGAAACGCCTTCGTGGGTCGAGAACATCAGTACCCCAGGTGCCTGTGGAGGTCATCAGCCTCTCTAGCAGCGGTGAGGACTCGAGCCCAGACGAGAACATGCCTATCAAACGTCTTCGTAAGACCGCAGCATCAGTCCAACAGATGCCGATCGATGCAGCTAGCTTGTTTTCTGGCGAATGCAGCCCATCAAAACGTGCAGTCACTAGTTTTGGTACACCAGCATCGCCCCCAAGCGCCGTTCAGGACGTTCAAGAGAACATTAGACGAGCGATCAGACACATCAGGAAGGACGATAGTGCAACAGAAAAGACCCCCGATCAGATGGACATGCTAATGGCAGTAATGTCAGCACATACGGACCTCGTCATCACGATGAGGACAGGAGGCGGCAAGAGCATGTCGTGGATGATTCCATCAGTGATGGATGAAAATTCCAGGTCTATTGTGGTGTGCCCGTTCGTAGCTCTGCTGGACCAACAGTTCATGGCTACCGCGTCTACTGGACTACGTTGCCACAACTACTGCGTCTCCAAGGTCGTTCCGGAGAATGCACAGATTTTGTTCGTGCAGGTAGAGCATTGCTCGTCGCATCCGTTTGAAAGGTAGCTGTAAACCTATAAGGTCTGGACATGGCTAATGGTTTAACGATAGCTTCCTTGTATCTCCACTCGGACGGAAGTTCAACAGGGTGTTTGTAGACGAATTCCACGACATCATGAACTGTCATCCAGGACGAGTTGTTCCATGGAAAAATCTCGCGCAGCAATTCGGAAAGACGCTAATCAGGATTGTGCTTATGACAGGGACGGGACCACCGCACCGTATCGCAAATTTCATCAAACCATTTGGATTGCATCTTGGCATCGTCACGCAAGTTCGGTCGGATACAAATCGTCCAGAGATCGGGATGCATGTCATACAAATACAGCCTATCGCGGCCATGCAGTCTCTGGGACACCTCGTCTCCGCTCTATGCAAACTACTTGCTGAGGAGGAACATATTCTGGTTTTCTGCGGCTCCCAGGGGGACGCACAAGCATTCGCAGTGAAGGCCAATTGTGCGGTTTATCATAGCGATCTCTGGGAGGCTGGAAATAGCAGAGCATCTAACCTTTCTCGGTGGGATTCAGGCGATACAAAGGTGATGGCATGCACCACAGCATTTGCCCAGGGTATGGACAGGCCTCACGTCCGATATGTTGTGATCTTTAAACCTTCGTACGGCCTTCTCGTCAACAACCAGATGCTCGGTCGTGCAGGCAGAGACGGAAAGGAGTCTCACGTATTTTTCCTTACTGACAGACGAGCGAAGACATACAGAGGACCACCGACTGATCAATGTATCGGAGAGTTGGACGATCTAGTACACGGTACGGAATGTCGGCGCTTCGCCAACATGACCTGCATGGATGGCCACAACCTCGCTGTGCGGTGCACGGATTACCCTCCAGGGATCCATTGCGACGTTTGTGATCCGAACAGCGTCATGCAGCGATTGTCCATTCAGGCAATAGCAAACCCATTCAGGCCACCCGAGGCATCCGAGCATGCAGTCACCCCAGTTTTTGCAAGTGGATCTATGCTTCAAGCACCCACGCATGCTCCTCCGCCCTTATCTACTGGATTTGTGCCAGTGTCGTCGCTTCTTTCGATGAATATGATTGTGAGTTTTTAAATATACCCACAATCCTATTGTATGTTTATATGCGAACTGTACAGTCCCACACGATCACCCCACAGCCTTCTCAGTCGAGCGATGCTTTGTACGACGCGGGTGCATTAGAGCTCACTTCATTTCAGGCTTTGATGCTCGACTCCATGGAGGAAATCCATGGTAAGGTGAGTATGTATTATGTGTGATATCGTACGGGAGCTGATTCTGTACCTGTTTTAGGGTAATGGTGAATCTTCAGACAAGTCATATACGGTATGCATGTGTTAAAATTCCATGCGATTATACTTACTTATTTTGACAGACCAAATCGCAGCCATCTCTAGGAAGGGCCGTCCATATCGAGACTCCATCGACCTCATCGCTTCCCAGTGTGTCTCGTACATTCGTATCACGAGCGAGCGCAGTAAACACCTCACTTCATAACCGTCTCTCCAGCACTGCCCGCCTGGACAAGTACATGAAGGTCTTAAAGGACAAGTGTCCGTCACATTTTGGTAATGGCGGTTGTCTTGTCCCAGCAGCCAATCACAGGTGCACCATGGACACCGTTCTTTCGATGGATTTGTATGGAGCTTTCAAATTGAGCTTCTCATTCGAACGCTACACTTATTGTTTTCAATGCTGCCTTCCCCAATCGCGAAACAGAAACGGGGAGGAACCAGCATGCCATGCAGGCTTTTCGTACCGTAAAGGTGAAAAATGTCCATTCGCTGGGTTCATTTTCAGGCGGTATTTTGCATGTGGCACAACCCAGGATTTCGACAGTTAATGATAAACGAGATCGGCGAAGGAGCATCTTTGGCGAGCTATGAGGACTTCGTGCATGGATTGTGAAAGATTCCACGGATGCAGGAAGGTACAATAATTTGGTAGAAGCATTTCTCTGGTTTTGCAGCGGTCTTGAGAAGGTCAATCCCAAGTTTTTTGATTGATACAGGCTGGTCCAGACGTGAGTACGCATGTCGTATACTGTTGTCCACCATCTGAAGCGATTCCAGGAGTTGAAAGGGCATCACGCGCATTTCGGTAGATCTACGGACCCTCATCCTACAATACTGGACAGTATATTTAGACGTTCAATATCCCATGTGATATGTGCACTGCTATAGCACGAATGCATCATGTATTGATTAATGTAACAGTAACAGAGTTTTGTGTACCAGGCTATGGAATACTTTGTGAGCAATGGACTAACGACTTGCAATACATGCCATCAAGTGAGACATCTGAAACAGTTCCATCTACTTCGGTTCTTATTTTATGATGTGCATGGGCTCAACATCGCCTCATAAGATTCATTTTTTCTCACTGCATCCACCAAAGCCTCTGGTATAGGGTACGAACTGAGTTGTCCGAACGGGCGTCCTGAATGATGTCTACGGCGGCATCCATCTGAAATCAGTTTGGCTCATCAGCTTCGCCTCGACCAAAATCTCAGCAATCACAATTGCTTTACAAGCCTCATTCTTCCTCATTCAATGTATTGAAGCTTGTCGCGTACCGTAAACGACTAAGATGTCCTCCGATATCAAACTGTAAACGTCATATATATGTGATTTTCATAAAGTCGATTGAAATATACCCATCGCATCGGAATGCTAATACATTTATGTATAAAATAGCGGTCGAGCTCAGATTTACAATAATTATATATCCACATGTTGCGTGATGGACATAATTGTGAAATTGTGTCTACTGTCATTTTGTGTAGCATAATGGAATCTGGGACGGCCACTGTGGATATTTTCGGGTGCAAAAATACAATAGACGGATTTTGGAACGTCCACTGTGGACATTTATTACTCTCGTGAACTCTTGAAAGGCTCGTTGCCGACCCACCAATTCTCTATTCCAACTTCTCATCTCACATCCATGTTTACGGCGCCCAAGCTTACCTTGATGGAGCCGGGATGTGCATCCTGCATGGCTGACAACGTACCATGCTATGCGTATTCTTCCTCATCACCATGCAGAAGATGCTGCGACCGTTGTTCTCTGTTACCAGGTAAGCCGTCGCCGTACTTCTGCATCCCTCTTCACTTACAATTGTTCACAATATTAGGACCTCCCCCAAGGCGAACCCCCGTAATGCGCGCGGTTCGCAAAATGCGTCCGCGCTGCAATCACTGCAAGGACATAAAAAGGATTTGCCGAGGACGAACGGGCGAAGCGTGCATCGCATGTCAACAGCTGTGCAGTTATGGTAAGCGATCATTTTACTTATGTATTTTCTTTCTGTACTCAAGCGTTAATACAACAGTTCGAATTAATGCGGAAGAACAAGCCGTTGCCGAGTCTGAATATTATGACTCCTCCGATGCCAATGCATCTGGGACGGAGTCCGAATCTTCTGCTCCTCCGATGACAACGCATCCGACACCGGGTCTGAATCTTCTGACTCCTCCTCCGACGTGTTAGTTTTAGATCACAAGCCTTCTAACTGGGTCGACAAGCCGAATAGGACGAAACGCGGACGAACAGATGACGACGATGAAGTGATCGTCTTAGATCGCAGGCCAGACGATTGGATAGATAAGATGCCGGGTCGGATTAAAACGGAGTCGGCTTGGCTAGAGGAAGAGATGAAGGACGTCCAGAAGCATATACACTCAGGAGATGCGCGAGTATTATAGAGAATTGGAGAAAAAGAGAGGACATTTAAATGGATGTATTATGGACATGTAGATAGATCAAGGAACACGGTCAAAACCCCCAACAGGTGTATGCATTATATTATATGTTGATACAGATGGTGTCCGTAACGCTTTCTATTTATTCTTTAGTACTTATAAAAATACAAGCGATGACCTGCGGTCGTTTGGTTGTATTGGCACTCTTACAAATCAGACATTTATATAAGATATTTTCCGTATCTCTGTCCCTGAAAATAAGTACAGAAGGATGAGCACATGTCCAGACATGAGTCTGCATCTTTCATATTGTTGTCCTTCATCTAAAGCAGTTCAAGGCATTGACAGGATATCATACGCTCTGCAGTAGATCTGCGCGCCCGTATACGATTATACCAGACAATATATTGAAATGTTCAATATCTCATGTAACGCCCGGACTTCTATAGCGCAAAGTATCATATATTCGTTAATGTAACAGTAACAGACGGTTGTGTACAAAGCTATGAAATACTTTTTCAGAAGTGAAACTAACGACGGGCAATACACCCCATCAGGTGAAACATGAGAGCACGTTCCATCTCCTTCGATTCCTCTTTGACGACGGACGGGCTGGAACTTCTGTGAACCTGCATAGCGATGGAGCGTGTGTCCTGATCCTTTCATATATCAGTCAAGTCCAGATAATGATTGCCAAGACTCACTATAGAGGACAATAACGACGCATTATAAGCAGGTTCCTGCTTAATCACCTCATGGTAATGTTCCTCCTTTTTAATAGGGAACTCGCTGGGCCCAGCGTGCTGGATCGGATCTATGGCATCCATCTGAAATGGGTGGAGTATCAGCATCGCCCGCACCAAAGTCCAAGCAGCTTACCATAGCTTCATTAGATTCATGCTCCCTCATTCCATCCACGGAAGCTTCTGGTGTATGTGTACTAACCAAACTGTCCGAACGAGCGTACAGACTTCCGTTCGTGCATCCATCTAAAAAGAGTTTGGTGAATTAGCGTCGCCTGGACAAAGATACCAGCAGCTCACCATCGCTTCACATGATTCATCCTGTCCCATTCCATCTCCGGAATTCTCTTGTGTAGCAATAATAACTAAGCCATCTTCCGATCCCAAAGTATTGGAAGCCGTGTCTTCATCCTTGCTGATGTCAGTTGTTTGGAAAACGACACGTGCGGTCTACTTACCAATGGCTCCACAGGACGTTTCATGTGTACCCCGCTCCTTGTTCCGCGCGAGACAGAGTTGGCTGGTAGAGGGCGTTTGTAAATGTGTACAATGTTTGGCCTTCTTGTACCACAGCCTTTGAGTGTCGTTTTCTATTGAATTGTCAGTACTTATCAAAATAGAGGCTCTCGCTCACCTGTTTCGTGTGTATTAAGATGTAAAAGGTGGCTTTATCCATTTTTTCCTTCATCGATCGTGTTACCACCGCCATGGATAAAGAAGCAATATGTAGTGACAAGGGAGTATGTGATGGACGTGTGATGGATAATGGAAGTTTTGGACGCGTCACATCAACATGTGACATTTAATACGTTGCGGACTTTGTTTATTGACACATCACATTATGGAACATTCTGGCCCAAACGGTTTTGCATTGTTCGCATGATGATAGTGAGTCTAATGTTCGCATCTCGTGAGTATTTTCGTTCTCCTTCGGGCTCGAGCCGTGCTGATCGAGGTCTTTTCCCACTTTTTCCAGATCATGAGGTTTCCAATGTACCTTAGAAGTCATTTTCCGCTTTTCTTAGAATGTGAGCGAGTTTATCCTGTTGTAAGCTCGAGCCTCGCTGATTTAAGCTACTAAGCGTCCGTTGTTTAGACATGAGCGAATCGCTTCTTTGTCGAGGTCAAGCACTTCCGACCAAATATATCAGTTCTCGTCACGACGTCTGTACATTGATCCGCTATCAATCTTTATCCTCTGACGGAAGAATGGACAATCTATTCATAGCTTATAACTATCATAATCTTATAGCTACGTCCTGTCTTCGATGCAATTGCTTAATAGTTATGTCAGGGTGAGTGTATTTATTTTCCGTCGCACTCGCAACATACTGACTGAATATTTGCTGAGTTAACAGATCATGATTTGGCCCACCTGCCCTCGATTTCTGACACGCTTCGTTGTCCATCCGTTCACAGGTTATAAGCGTGTCTATCTGCAGTCAAATCGGTTGGTTCAGCAGCGCTTGACAAGTCGCTATCAGGTCATGTCGGCGACATTCCAACCTGATATAGATACCGTGCGTCTGAGATGTGTTTGTATCTACATGATATATACAATACATTGTCGACGAGATCTACGCACGCTCTATTTTCTTCAAGTCCTTTGTTTGGTACCCTTTGCCACTTTTCCACCTTTGCGCAAAGTGTTGGCTCGCTCCTAACAAGTTGAACTTGAGCAGCTCCCCAACCAGTACTTATTCACTGTTTTTCCCACCACCATCCTTGCGGCCCTGAATTTCCGTTCAAGGTAGCGCTTAGTAGTAGTTCAGTCTGCGCCTTCTCGTACAGTGTACTTACTATCTCTCCACATGGTGTATTACGTATATGCGCACTGCTTCTATTCTAACGCCTCACTGCGGCCTCAGTGATGCCACCCCCAAACCATGCATGGATCTCCTCTTTGCTGATTCCCC